TATATATATATACACACACACATACACACACAAACACACACACAAACATGCACACACTTCCCACCTCCCTTGGAAAACAGTATTTATTTGTAGGTTGTACATAGTCACTCACACGACATGACCATTGCCTTCCCGTCCCAGGGAAGAGCGAAGGACCCCGGAGGTCATACCCAGCATTTCCTTCTTCCCTCCCCAAACTCTGTGGTACTGTGAGACACCGATGTGTGTGGCCAGGCCGGGGTCGATGACCTGCCAGGCGATGGGGAGGACATGGTGCTGCACTGAGAGCTGTATGTGCCTAGTGATGGGCTGGCCAGGTCTGGGTGCAGGTGGGGATGGTGTCACCAGCTCGGAGGGGTGTTGGGGCAGGGCCAACAGTGCCTGCGGGGGCCTCTGGGGCTGATGCCCATCTGGGCTGACTGGACGGCCTGTACTGACTCAGCCAAAGGGCAAGGGGAGAGAAGGAGCTGGAGAAGGTCTGCCCCACTGCCCTGGTCATGTCTGCTGGCTCTCTGAGCCTCAGTTTCCCCATCTGGTTACTTAAGACAAAGCGCTTTCCCCATGGAAACTGCAGACTAGCCACACAAGCCTTTTGAGGGGGGTGCAGCAGCAGCATGTGAGGTGCAGAGTCCCACCAGGCCACAGCTTGGGCTTCATGCAGCTGCAGCTGGCGATGGGCACATAGGCGGCGGTCTCCAAGGTGCAGTTCAGGGAGGCAGGACTCAGGCATCCGGGCTGTGGTAGGGGCTTAGTCAGGGCTGTGCTCTGGGTTGGAGAGGGAAGGAGAAGGGGCTGCGCTGGGGTCAACCCCTGATGTGGCCATTCACACCATGCCAGGAGCCCCTTTGGCAGTGGGGCCCCATCCAGGGCAGTGATGCCCTTTGGTGCTGGACCCATGGGTGCCATGCCCATCGTCTGCTGCTTTGCAGCTCCCAGGCAGTGATTCGGGTGCACTGCATTGTAAATAGTTGAACATGGGAAGTATAGGGGTACCCAGGGCCCGTGCAGTGCCGAGCACGTGCCCCCACTGCAATCTGGAGCGTGCCGAAATAAACACTGGCTTTGGGACAGCCGTGGGCGCCTGTGTGTGCTCTGTGCGGGATGGGGGCAGCACAGAGGGCCTAAAGGAGCAGGCGACTGGGGGCCTCACTGCCACTTGCCCTGCTTGAGGCCACTGTGCCCTGTGCTGTGCTGAGCCCTTGGCCACCTCACACAATTCCCTTAACTCTACCCCTCCAGCCTGTTGCTCTGAGCTGAGAGGGAAGGTGGCAGGGGGCGGGCTGAAACCACCATCTCCAGAATAGGATACGAAGATGCTGGGCAGGGGATGGGTGCAAGGAGAGGGTCACCCGTGAGGGGCACACGGGGAGGGACATGTGGGTATCACTGGTCATTACTCAGGGCACTGGCAGGGCAGTACTGGGCTGTACTGGGGGCACTAGAGGGCTGCACTGGTGGTCCTGAGAGCACTGAGGGGGTAGCGCTGGGCCATACTGTAGACAGTAGGATGTACTGGGGGAACTGGAGGGCTGCACTAGGGGCACTAGGCAGTTTTGAGAGCACTTGGGGCAGCCCTGGGCAGTACTGGGGGCCTTAGGGGGTGTTACTGGAGGAACGGGGCTGGAACTGGGAGGTACTGGATGGTATTGAGGGGCACTGGGATGTACTGGAGGCACTGGGATGCACTGGAAGCACTGGGAACTACTGGGAGCAGTGAGCCGTACTAGCAGCACTGGGCAGCACTGGGACGTACTGGGACGTACTGGGGAACAGGGCGATACTCGGGGCGTGAGATGTAGTGGGGCCACGGGGCTGTACTGGAGTCCTCGCGCCCCCTTGTGGCCTCTTGCGGAACTGCCGCCATAGCCCCAGGTCCGAGGGACACTGGAGTTAATGGGGACACTGGGCGGAGGGCACTGGGCAGAGGTTACTGGGTGTCTCTGGGGACACTGTGTAGCTGCTGGGGGGGGCTTACTGGGGATGTCACTGGGGAAATTACTGGTGTGCCCCTGTCGAAAGTGGGGGCTATTAGGATGCCCATGGCAACACTGGGGAACTGGGGAACTGGGGAGGGTCCCTGGGAAGCCAGGGGACATGGGGGTGGAGGGGCATACTGGAGTTTCCTGCCGGCACTGAAGGTGCCATGGGGTGCTTCTGGGGACAACGGGGTGGGTTATTGGTTGGGGGGGGGGGGTCTTGGAGACCCTGGAAGGGTGCTGGGGTGCCCTTGGGGACATGGGGTGGGGTTCCTGGAGCCACTGGATGGAAGTGCTGTTGAGTTCTGGGGGCACTGAGGAGGTACTAGGGTGCCCCTGTAGACTTTCGGGGGGATGGTTCCTGGGCTGTCTGGAGGCACTGAGGGGGCACTTGGGTGCCCCTGGGGATATTGGGGGAGGGTGCCTGGGGACACTAGGGAGGGTTACTGGGAGGAGGGTTGGAGACACTGGAGAGGATACTTGGGTGCCCCTTGGGGCATAGTGCTAAGGTTTCTAGGGGGAACCTGGGACCACTGGGCAGCGTGACTGGGCTTTGCAATGGGTCATGGTAGGAGTACCAGGGTGCCCTTGGGGCCATCGGGTGGGGGTTCCTGAGGTAGGGGGGCCTGGGGACAGTGGTCCATGTGCATATTTCCAGGCCCAGCCCCTGCTCTGGGGGCACTCCTCCCAATCCCAGTTCAAATACCCCCCTGGAATGACTGCAGAGCTGGAACAGGGACCCCATCCTAGTTCCAGGACAGGCCAGCATAATTTCCCCTCCCAGATGGGGGGGCAGGTAGGATGACTGTATCCCATCCCATCCCCCGTCCCTCCCAGCTCACTGAAGTGCTGACTCCAGAGCCATGGGGATGTGCTGAGCTCAGCCAACTGGAGATTTAAAGGGGTTTATCTGGGGCCTGGCTTAAGTGGCAGGCGCTGAGCACAGCACCTCTCCCAGGCAGCCCCTGGGACCTTGGCCCCGTCCTTGGCCCACATTGGGTGGGTGGCAGCACCCACCTGCCGCAGGCAGACACAATCCTCCAGCAGCAAGGGCAGTCCGGTAGCAGGGCAGTCCGGTGGCCAGGTGCCGGCAGCACCGGCGGGCACAGCGATCCCGAGCGCTGGAGGCGGCGGGGGGCTGGAGCACGCTGCCCATCCTGGTGCTGACCTCCAAGGAGCGGGTGAGCCGACGGGCTGCCAGGCCGAGGATGGGGGCCGGGGCCAGTGCCGAGGAGAAGCATTCCCGTGAGCTCGAGAAGAAGCTGAAGGAAGATGCTGAGAAGGATGCGAGGACCGTCAAGCTGTTGCTGCTAGGTATGGCCAGGGTTGGGGGGGGGGGGGGGGGGACTTGTCTCTGGG